TATCGAAATTATGAAAAAAAAGGATTAACACTCCATACAACATGAAATTAATGACTAAGAGAAAAAAAAGAGTAAATACGCTTAGGTAAGTAACATTATAGATGAAAGAAGCACATTTTAACGACAATTAATTTTAAATCAAGTTATATGACCTATGTGTTAATGTTGATCTAACGATAAACCTCTGGGACATTGTCGATTACTCACCATATTTAGAATATTTGGAAGAACTAGAAAATCATTCTGTCAGGCAACGTCCAGGCCTTGAATCTAATATCTTGATCTAGGATACAGGCTCCGACCGAGAATCAAACTCGTAGTACCTAGGCTGGTGGAGTCAGGCTTACTAACTACATGACCAATGGGATGATCTGATAACCTTACTATTTCCATTGAATGTGCTTGTTCCGATTTGTAGCCTTCTAATTAACAATATCACGCATACGATTGTGGTGTCAACCCGGACGGACTTGCAATACCAGCGATCACCAGTCAAACGATCGTTCGTTAGAAATGAGCTTCCCGCCTTCTGCAGACATTGTGCGGTCTCATTGTGAGGCTGTTGTGAAACTCTAATGTTCATCAAAGTAAGTATTCTCCAAGGATTATGTGGTGTGGTTACGAAAGATTTATTGAAGTCGGCTGAACTTCGGCCGTGACAAATTACAATGATCGTTGAAGTACCAAATCATAGTTGTTGTATTCGCGTTATATCTTCTTCGTTTTAAGTGGTTTTGTGTTGTCCAATTAAATACTTCTTTTACCAATTATTTTCTATTCGAATCCATCTTTTCATATTTTACTAGCTCAGCAAACAATGTTCGACAATTTAGACGAATGGCTTAGGCGCACATAGAGAACAATCATACAGCATTCATTTTTATTTAGAGAGGTCATTAAATTAAAAAAATGAATAATAATGAACAATACGTTCGCAATATGAAAAGTCCACAAACCGCACTATATTTCAAATTGTGTAAATCTAAATAAGCAATTTGTTTTATGTCACCACTCGCAGTCACACAATAGTGTTTTATGATCTACTTATTTTCTTTAATATAATAAATCAAACATTGGTTTTTGTCTGCCTGGTCGGGCAAACTAAAGAACCAGTTCATAGTTGTTAACGCCAGAGGTCCTGCTAAGCGATTGCCTACCGATATATTATTAGACAATATTGTGATTTTTATAAATAAATAAAAAATCGTTATTTTTATACCCTGTGTTAACTGAAAAGCAAAATAACCTTGAATAGCTTGGAGTCGTTTAATGTTATTGTCGTTGATAATGCTTCGGGTGCTCGCACCTACATGTACGGCTGCCCTTTGCCATATAATATTATCTACGACTGGCCTTTAGTATAAATAAATCGCATCTTAGCCAATAATAGTCCCGGTACAGCGGTAAATCTTTGGTGGCATCATAGCCACCTCTCGTGTAAGAGTTCGCAGGACGCCAAAATTATTTGAATATATTATATAAAGATCTATCTGACTACACGACGAGACGTCTTAACAAATGAAATCGAAAGTACGAAAATAAACAAACATTACATAAGAAATGATTTAGAGAAAGTTAATAAATTAATATCTAAAAGTCAGAGAAATTACTTCGAGCAAAATACCATATATTGTGGTTGTATCTTCAGTATCAGCCGTCATTACGTACATCAGTAGAAATTACTATTTGAGAAGGGCTTCGTAAACTAATTAGGGGTTTTAATTATTAAAAAAAAAAAAAAAATTCGTGAAAATCATTCCGTTCATTGAATGTGGAATTTAAATTAATATTTCTCGTTATTCTATAAAAAGGGTGACTTCCACAATTTTACGTGATCGCTGATGATAAATAAATGAAAAAACATCGTCGAAACAATTATCTTGACTTAAACTTTAAAATACGTTCTACCGACTCCCAACGAGAATTCCGAATTCCTTTGAACATAAAAGAAAACTTTCTCTTTCACTCGTGACTAATTAGGCGTCAAGTTAAAGCCATTGAAGATATTCAAAAATGATCTTGGCTGTGTTGTTCGGAGTGTAGAGACCGGCGTGCGGTGGTTGTGCAACCGTAGTGTGGTGGACCGCGTCAGGACGACCGCTACTAGGTACTCTTCACCAGAAACGAACAATAAAGTACGAAGGTACGAAGTATCTACATACTGTATGGAGAACGTATTTGACGGAGGCACGTCTGAGAAAAAGCTTGAGGCAAACCGTGCCCAATTTTGGCTGCATTTGGCCTAAGCCGTATCACATTTCAGAAGACCTCGTAAAAAGGGAAGTGGATAATCCCCTGTAGACGGGAAATCTGTCATGTTCGATCTTTTCTGCGTAATTGTGTTCTCTGTGTGAAATTTGGGAATTGTAGTGGGACGCCTACCCAGACATTGTTAAGCTCTACATTTAAGGACTATCGACCCCGATTCCTGTCCGTGACTAATGGTTTACTTTAATGAGTCTCCGTGAGCCTTGTGGAAAATAACGATATCGAACAGGCTAGCCGCTACTTGCAAGCCAGAAATTCGGCACTCTGTCGAGGTTCGCCGCCATATGCAGGATGAGGTCATATATGTAAAACTCGAAGCAATAATAAATAAAAAAGTTAACAAAACGCATTCATCTTTAGGAATTTGGACTTCTCAGAAAACAGACTCATATGCTGTCGAGCANTCGTGAGCCTTGTGGAAAATAACGATATCGAACAGGCTAGCCGCTACTTGCAAGCCAGAAATTCGGCACTCTGTCGAGGTTCGCCGCCATATGCAGGATGAGGTCATATATGTAAAACTCGAAGCAATAATAAATAAAAAAGTTAACAAAACGCATTCATCTTTAGGAATTTGGACTTCTCAGAAAACAGACTCATATGCTGTCGAGCAAATAATAATCTAAATTAAGGTATTCAGTAATGCGGATTACGGAAAGCTCGTAAAAATAACAACAGCTCATTCTTACCTATCTAAGCTGTCTAGCCTGTATTTATATTATTTATGTATTTTTTTGTACGTGATCTACCTATGCTCTCGCGCATTGTTAGCCGATTGTGTTGAAACTTGATACAATTGTCATTAGCACTCGTACCGCTAGCGTACGGTAGATGTAGTCGCAATAAAGCGATGGCCATTAAGGTAACATTGACATCTTCACCGCCGTTGCATATTTCACTTCAATTAGCGATACCATTTGCATATGTGCATAATAATTACGTTGTAAATGCATAACTATTAACACACTTATATTTACATCTAAGTTTTTTTGTTAAATACATAGTAGTAAATCCTAAAGCTTTATAAATGATCACATAACAAAGTTTGTCTACAAAGCGACACATTCCCGCGAAGCCCGTTACGTTGCTACGTTGCGCGGAGTCGTCGAACTGTTACGTTGTCTGTGTTTGTCAGGAAAGTGTTAATAGATTGAAATATAAACAGTTTCTCTCTTATAAGCATGTATGAGTATGTATATGAGCTACATTGTGTTTGTATTTATTATATATCAAAATTTACGATACCACGTATTATTATAATTCAAAAATATTTAAAAACTAGTTTTACATTGACAAATAAAACAATGTTCGTTGTTTGGCGTTACGAAGATTGTAAAATGATAACTGGGAGCCTTGAAAGTTTTAAAACGAATAATACAATAAAAATATATGTACTAAGTTGAAGTTGACCAAAGTCTGTCAAATTTACAAAAACGCTAGGAAAATACTGATATGACTGATACTTGATTCGTTTAAATATATATAGAAATTAAACACCCCTGGAAAAAGCAAATGAAATTTTTTCAGCACACAAATTTTTACCCTATAAGGAAATTGAACCCTTGGCCCAACGGTTAGGAGCGCTAATTTCTGCATCACTGAGTCAGTCAGTCAATCTTTTAGTTTTTTTTCTCAAAAATAACTAAATTTTTTAAATTTACAATATACTAAAACTACTAAACTACAACAATTTGAAATCGAGTTCATATTTTCAATAATAGTAACAAATTTTTACATTCAAATAATTTCACGCCATAAACATGAATGACGGTACCACCCGAAGCCTCCAACAAAGCCTACAAGCGGCCTACAATAGCTAACGACAGTTTAGTAATCACAACTATGTATAGGCTATTTTCTCACGTGCCCGCAAATGCACGTTTTGAAACAGTTCTCCGTCTCTGGCTATAATTCAACAAAATATCAATTGACATCGAAATCTTTTAGCAATCGTAAGAAATGTCTTAGGTCGTACGCTGCGTTACGACATTGTTTTGATAACACCTGGCTGGATATTGAGATATAGAGACCTTTCGAACGCACTGAACCGAAAATGCGGATACGTTTGTCTGCATTCATTACTACAAATTAAACATGATCAATTATGCACTCTATTACTTCATTAGTGATCATTGTAATCAGATAGTCTGTGTTTCTATATTTTTAATTTATCTGTGTCAATTTTTATTTGGTTCACGTTCTTTCATCGACATTGTATACACACTTGGTATCGATTGACACTTTATTAAACCATACTACGTAACTATTTAAACCGTTATCTTTTCTGTTGGATTTGAACTTTCTCGAAAGAATTTCCAAGGTTTGTGAAGATACATGATTGTGCAACCAGTAGCGTAATCGAAAACAAAACAAAAAAAACATCTACAACTTGTCTCGCAACTGAATCTCGCAATAACATACCTGCACTGTGTGACGGAGATCTTAGTCTTTTAGTCGCTCGCTTGTAACTTTGTTGTACAAACACGCACCATTGTTTACATTACAAGCACGTTTAGGAATATATAACATCTAAAAGAATACTTATTAATTGCACATTAATAATTAATAGCACATTGTTTATTTAAGGAACTATGGGTACAAAATGTGACATGTAGTTGTTTAATGTATATTTAATCACCTTTCCGTCAATATGAATACCTTGAGACAGAACACGTTAACGACTAACCTAGAGGCCTGTAGTCGTTTGTCCAGTAAATTGAAGTAAGTCGTACCTGATAAAAGGCTGGTTTTGGAATCCTTTCTAACGTCCTGTTCCAAAGACCCTTCGAGGCCTTTTGGAACATCTTCCCCTCTCCCCTCGCGCACAGCAAGCAGGAAAGCGCAAACACAAACAAAAGTGATCCTTATCAACTCGCGCATTTTCATCGTTTCACGCTAAAACCCACTAATGGCCATTTTTTAAATGTAAAAAGAAAATGAAAACAAATAACGTCACATTTTCACTTAATCGTAAATTTCGAACAAACTTAATGGATTCTGTCCACAAATATTTAAGTGATAAAATAAGAATCACATAACTTGTTGTCGCACTTTTCGATCGCCACGATTTTGTTTTTAAATCGATATTTATTAGTCGTTTCGTATCGCGGCCGAGATTTAGACGTGCGTCGTTCACGAATATTGTGGAGGACTGAAGAGATTGGTAGACGGAGTGGGAGAAGCTGAGCGCCGCCTCGCGCAACACACAGCGTTGCCACCGACATTAACAGGGCCACTTGTCAGCCACGTACTGCTTGTTTGGGAATCAGCATCTATACATCTACGAGCTGCTGTGACTATTACTTACCAATCAGTAGACAATATTAGCTGATTCAAGCCTCGTTACTTGGAAAAATAAAAATTGGGACAGCCTCGATTTCAATAACCAAATTACGTTTTTTTTTCTATGAAATGGGGACTTGGGGATTGGGATTGGAAATACTTATTTAAATTTAGATACCTCAGTACCGTTGATACTGTCAGCTGCAGAACTGCTACCTTACTTACCTAATAGTAACAATTATACCTTAAGTAGTATAATTATATAATCGCTTGAATCTAAATTAACTAAATAAGGCTGAAAGTACGAAATGACCCGGCATAAATCCAGTTGTATTTTATCCAATTATAGTTTCAATCTAGTCATATTTAATTTTAATATCCTTATAAATGTTACACCTGTTAATCGAAAATAATATATATACACATACTAATAAGGTACTATGCCGGTAATGTGATTTTCATTAACTATCTATGCACTTTTGAGGTGGCCTGTACGTGGTACATTAAACAGCTGCTCTGCGTGCCTACCTCCTGGCTACCTGGCGTGGCTACCTGGTTAAGTGTATTATAATACAATGACTTCCGCCGTTTGAGTGCGTACACGAGGAGGTCCCAGGTCGGTAGCCCTGGGTGCCATTACTCGCTGCGTTGCGGAACGTACTCTAATAAACAAGTACCTGCAAGTCTACTCTAGCGCGCTGGCACCAGGAGGACGAGACGACGCGTCGGCGGCTGCGGACTGTGATGCGGTCCGCATTTTTCGTCGTCGCTGTCATCGCCGAACATACTGTGGAAGAGCAACCCGGTCGGCGGTGTATCGCGTTCCGACCCGGCAGGCTGGTTCGGGCCCAGCGGGGTATCCCGGAACACCAGCGGCATCGTCCGGCGGCCTGGTAGGGCCGCCGTACCGTGGAGACCGACGTCGTTGGTCGGGCGTTCTCGGGGTGGCGCCGCGTGTCTGGTTGTAGTGTTGACCGCGGGAACCCCCCTACTCTGACCGGGTTTTGACCCCGGACGGAGATCGGACGTCGGGTGTAAGAGTGCAAGGGAGTCGTTTAGTGGGTGGGCCCTAAAATCCTTGGGCCCGCGGTCTGCTCTCAACACCTGCAGATCGTTGTCTCACATACCCCGCGCGCCCCCTAGGCGCGGGGACCTCGTAGGAGGTTCGGCCCCGGCCCGAAAAAAAAAAAAAAAAAAACAATATCTGCAAGTCGCAGTTGTTTTATTGAAAAGATATACACGGGTTTTCCTATACATATTTTACAAATTCATGATCTATTGTACTATTTTAAATTTGCAGACGAGCTTACGGCCTACCTGATGGTGAGTGGTTACCGTCGCCCATCGACTTTAGCAATGGAAGGGAAGAGCCAAGCCACTGCCTACCGTTTAATACTCTCCACAAGCCTCGTTTGAAGAAGGACATGTTATTCCGCTCAAAAAACACCGTGGAGGGGAGCTCATTCCAAAGCCGGATGGAACGTGGCAAAAAAGACCTCTGGAAACGCACTGTGGATGAACGCAGTGTCTCCAGGTAGTATGGATGAACTCTACTCCGGTGGCGGGCGGTGCGATGGTAAAAACGAGATGATGATATCATCTCCAACAATTCCTCAGAGCGCTCCCCGTGGAACATACGGCAGAAAATACAGAGGGAACCGAAATCCCTGCGCAGACCCAGAGGTTCCAAACGACCCGTGAGAATGGGATTATCGACAATACGAACGGCCCTCTTCTGGAGTTCTGGAGTCAAATGGAAGTAGCTGGTGTTTGGGAGCCCCGGAGCAGTACTCCACGTGAGGCCGGACTCGTGCTTTATAAGGCAAAAGTCTTTTTCTAGACGTGAAGCACCGCTTCGCTCTGTTGAGGACTCCCAGAAATAAGAAATGAATAGTGAAAATGAATGCGGATTCCAGCAACTTATCCCTTGGAGAGAGAGGCGCANCTGGAGTTCTGGAGTCAAATGGAAGTAGCTGGTGTTTGGGAGCCCCGGAGCAGTACTCCACGTGAGGCCGGACTCGTGCTTTATAAGGCAAAAGTCTTTTTCTAGACGTGAAGCACCGCTTCGCTCTGTTGAGGACTCCCAGAAATAAGAAATGAATAGTGAAAATGAATGCGGATTCCAGCAACTTATCCCTTGGAGAGAGAGGCGCAGCACGCTTTGGGCGCTTAGTGCGAGTTTTTTAACGTTCTCGATACCGAAAAGTTTTGCTCAATTTTGTATGCAGTTGGAACAGCGCCCCTAGCGGCAAACGTAGGCAGATGTTTCAACTCCATACAAATTGAGTTAACTTATTCGATACCGAGAACGTTAAAAAACTCGCACTAAGTACACTGTTGTCGCAAGTCTCACGCTTCAGTTGTGTTGTCTCGGTACAAGTTGTATTACGACGGTCAATAGGAGACGCGGTTTGCAAGTTTCAACAAAAAACCGTGTTCTATATTGTTCTCAGAAATAGTCAAGAGTTGATTCCTCCACCCCCGTGCCGTGGAACTCCTCGCGGCCGAAGCAGTTCATCCGTACTCTCTGGTAGCACTGCCCTCATACACATTTCAATGACGGACATCTTTTTTGACACACGCCATCCAGCTCTGAAATGAGCACGCAAAGTCTTGATTGCTCTGACATGTCCTTGTTCACATGTGGTTTAAAATTAGTCCCAAGAACATAGCAAGGCAAGAGCTCTTTTTTTATTTGATTTTTTATTGCTTAAATGGATGGACGAGCTCACAGCCCACCTGGTGTTAAGTGGTTACTGGAGCCCATAGACATCTAAAACGTAAATGCGCCACCCACCTTGAGATATAAGTTCTAAGGTCTCAGTATAATTACAACGGCTGCCCCATCCTTCAAGCCGAAACGCATTACTGCTTCACGGCAGAAATAGGTAGGGTGGTGGTACCTACCCGTGCGGACTCACAAGAGGTCTTACCACCAGTAATTACGCAAATTATAATTTTGCGGGCTATGCCCCTGACATGTCCATGAACATTGTTGACCACTCACATTCAGATGTGCTGTGCGTTCCTCTATATTTTAAAACAATAAATAAAAACAGCCAAACTTAACAGTAATAAGGTATTGAAAAATTAAATATAACACTAAATAAATTAAAAAAAAAACTTGATAAACAAATAAATAAAAAACACCAAGTTTTTTGACATAAAAATATGTGAAATTTAATTATTGATAATATAATTATTAAAACAAATGTTCAATGTACAAAATTTTAAATCTTACAACTATTATATGCATAGCCTTTACATATTTTAAATAAATACTTATATTGTAAGTAAGCAATTTCCTGATATCTCTGTGTTGTATTGTGGGACAGATTGGTTCCATCAAGTAATTTGAAGTAAGAAGAGGAACATGTCTCACTAGAGATTTACATGTTATAAGTGAGTCGTCTATTATCAAAGGTGGCAATCTGTGCATTTGGACAAAAAAAATTTATTGATATTTCAATACAGATTGATTTTAATATAATCGTCTCCTTCAAAGAATACGGTTCAAAACCTGCATTAAATAAAGGTTAATACTTAACCTGTTATTTATCTAAGATGTCGTTCAGAAGAGTTTTGTGACTGCCAATGGAATACAAAGTCAATAATTCGTTTTTCTGATTTACCAATAATTATCCAAAAGTCACATTGCCGGCTTTGATAATAGTCGACTCAAGTGTTAGAATTTGTTCATTATATAAAATTATATATTATATTATGAATGACAGCATTTAAGTTTGGCATTCCTGTGCACATATATAATATGCTGCTCAGATTAAATATTTACTTTCATAACATTAGCCTCAATGAGAAACTTCACAATTATATTGTTCCGCTAAGCTTGTACTGTCCTTTATTTTAATTAAATGTTTGACCATACATTTCATACACTCTAATTTTTTCTTTAACCTCCTCCTGCTCTGCCAGACAAGGTTGAGTTTGTGTTTCCTGCTCTCGGCTATCATTTCTAATCTCCGAACTTTGTTTTTCAATTTGATGACTTCTTCTGTGTCTGATGGATCTATGTACACTGGTGGTAGTCTTGAAATTGTTGGCACTGGCTCTTGGCATGGCTAGAAATTTAGATAATTATGTTGTTGGTTTTATACTGATGAGTTAAATCATTTAGATCATCATAATTTGTGTATTATGAATGCTTTAAATTAAAAAAAGATATAATATTACATTCTATTATAACTAAATCATTCCAAGTTTGATCTATCGTTTTATTTTGCATACATTACTATTAGTTAAAAGTAATTTCATATTACTTGTGCAAGTTGTTGACTTACAGATATGTTAATGCAAGGCACAGCATTAACAGATAGTCTTCGTAGTCCACTGTCAGTTAGATAAAAGTCAGTGCAACCAAAATGTTCCGAGCATACTGCACTAAAAGGACTTGATCTCCATTCTTCCTCCCTGTTCATTGCCCTCTCCCACTGTCTCCGTCTCTCCTTATCACGAGGAAACCTAAACCAAATAATGCAAAATATATATTATACAAAAGCCCTATGCATTAAAATTAAAAAACAGAAAAGTTAAAGTTGCATATTGTGAGAGAGTATTTAAAATACACAGCACTGTTGCAATATATAAACCATAATAAGCAACTTGCATTAGACAACTTGAACTTTTTGTTTATAATCTTAAAAAATGATTTTCAAAAAAAGTAAAAAAAACCTACATTTAAATAGATGCCCAGTGGCTCTTGGTAAATTTATGATTTTTGAAACAACCAGTGGCTTTTCGTTCATTTATTATTGCACTAATATAACTTATCTACTGTAAGCATTCATATTTTTCTCTCCCGCTACGTGTTAATTAGCATTATAATTAAAAGATAGAACTAAATAATCGAGCGACAGAAAAGTAAACATGGGTATTTTCACCTGTGGAATGTGATTCCATCTTTATTTTTTGATGTTTTTATCGAAGTGTTTTTACAATTCGATACAGCACAGCAAACCATTTTATCTCGACATAAATAATTGTATTAGAAAATTATTAAATTACTAGCGAAAAACCTCTGAAAACTGTCTACTTAATATACGCTTTAATTTTTAATTTTTTGTTTATGTTTATTTCCTACTGTGTTTAATTTTTCACGACCAATGGCTACTTGACTTTTTAGCCTATCTCAACTTCCTCAATAATCATAACAAAACATTGAGATCACTGCAATTATACATAAATATCTTCTTAATTAATAGAAAGATTTAACTGAGGTTACAATATTATGTTTTTTGGAAGACTAAGAGAAGTCATTTCTAGTTGTTCCCTTTGGTCTCCCCGCACTTATGCTCCTTTTCAAATAGGTACTACACCATTAACAATCCACCAATATAAATTCTAAAATTCCAAAGTAACACTAACACAGTTCACGAATCCACTAAAAGTCTTAATTAGCGATGGACGACTTCGACTTTTATTTTTCAGTGTAGCAATCGGATTTTTATTAAGTACTTATTTGCTGCCGGCGTCAAATTAATACAATAAAATTATTATTTTCTGGCACTGCTGACGTCCACGAGTACCGGTGACCACTCATTATCAGATAGGCTGTATGCTTATCTACAAAATCATTTTTTAAAGAAATACGAGTTGAAGTGAACTTGCGCGAATTAATACTCAATTAGGATGAAATTCAATGAAATCAAATAATGACCGAGTGTTATGGTGGGAATGCACTGAGATCTCTGTGGTCTTTGCGGAACAGCCCGCAAAAGCTCCAACAACTTTCTTTCTTTTTCCCAGACTTGTGCACTCTCTCACACATACTAAATAGTGAATACGTTACCCTTTACTACACAATTGAAACTGTAGCAAGTCTTTCGTTGTTTTAAAATCTCAGTGCCGACATATTATCGTTCCACGTTTTTTTCACAAAGCACTTAATTTAACCACTTTAACACTAAAAGTCGTCGTGCCCTAACGGATAAGACGTCCGATGCATTCGTGTTGAGCGATGCACCGGTGTTCGAATCTCAGGTGGGTACCAATTTTTCTAATGAAATACGTACCTACTCAACAAATATTCACTATTGATTTCTACCGTGAACGAATAACATAGTGTAATAAAAATGAAACTTGCAAAATTATAATTTGCCAAGGACCTCTTGTGAGTCCGCGCGGGTGGGTACCACCACCCTGCCTATTTCTGCCGTGAAGCAGTAATGCGTTTCGGCTTGAACGGTGGGGCAGCCGTTGTACTATACTTGAAACCTTAGAACTTATATTCTCAAGGTGGGTGGCGCATTTACGTTGTGGACGTTTATGGGCTCCAGTAATTAACAACAGACTGACTGACTCTGACGGGGCTTTTGTGTTTTTTGTGGGTTTCTGTGAGTTCGGTGTTCCGGGCTGTTTGCGAAGAGGATAAGGAAATGATGTTAACACTGGTTTGGATAAGATTTTATTAGAAAGCGACACAATTAATTAAAATAAAACAAAATGAGTTGAGAAAAGTACAGACAAGCTAAGATTAACAATATTTTGCCGGTCGCCTTCGCGCGCGCCGGTGTCGCATTATCCCCAGCTCAGTGAGTTCTATCTCAGCGGGGGGTAAAACGGCGGCGGGGGCAGTATCGCACGTTCAGATATTTAATTTTGGTTCCGCTATACCACCCATTTAAATTTTGCATGGCTTAAATTAATAAATAGCCTTTTGAAAGCTTTGAGCTGTCTGTTATAGAAGACAATCTTTCGCCGAGAACATGATTTTGCTTGATCAACAAACTGTCTTAATATCCCTGAGCAGTATTTCGCTAATGCTATCACCGAATCGGAATCCCAACCCAAGGAGAAAAATTCAGTGAGAAACTTAGTGGGTACTGTCTATGGGAGTCTCATTTCGGTTATACGGTAATGGGAATTTGTAGATATTAATATGTATTTATAGTAAAATTTATTTATTCTAAAAAAATATTATCAGCGAAATTCCGATGTTTGTTACATTGTGAGTAATTGAATTAATGAAGAGGCGGGTAAAATTTAGCGTTATGCCAAAGTAAATATCCCACGCGGATGAAGTCGCGAGCAAAAGCTAGTGAATATATAAACAAAAACAACTGTGATTTTTCATCAGATTAAAAGTTGAAAGTTATCAATAGTTTCAAATTGGCTACAACAGACGCAATAATAAGGTTCTGGTTTTGCCGTTTAGCGTATATGTTCTTTTTTTTATAGGCTTGTAACCGATTAGCATAAGGTTGAATGTAGATTCGTCTACTTTTGCACTTCTAATAAAGCTAATCGATGTACAATAAAATACAAAATTACTTTTAAAAACAAAGAATCCAGTGTATGTCTAACTGAACTAGAATTCAAACGATCAAACTTAAACTGAAATGGTAAATGATATAATGCCTGTCAAATTTAATTTCGCTTGCAACAAAAACCTCAACTCACCCGTAATTATATGGTATCGCACACCACTCTGTCGTGATGGCATAATTATTTAAAACGTAGGGCGAAAGTGGCGTGTATCTCCGCCCACATTTAACGGCGATAATAGAGACATCCAAATTGATAGTTTTCAATTCGTTGTAATGGGACACTGCTGAATAGACAATAGTGCTGAATTACAAATAACTTCGTTTGAGTAGTAAGTAGTGATGGGAATCTAGCCGAAATGTATCGACAATTTAGGTAATATTTTTTTGATGATGGAAAAAAGTCACGATTATAAATATTGACTATTGTGCTATTAAGGCATTGTGCCTTTTCAAATTTTATTTAATGTACAATCCTGATACTTCTCCTTTGACTTCCCTCCTCCTTGCGTCGTATTCCCCACTGCTGAGGGTCTTGACCACCGTTTTGTATCACCTTCGCCCGCACGATCTTTCTCCATGTATTCTTGTCTCTTGACTGTGGACAAATAAATTCACAAATTCGGAAATATTTAATATCACAACCACAGCTGATACGTCATTTAGACGAATGAGTAGTGGCACTGAGGTTGCAAAATAGTACGAGGGTGATGGATAGTCAATGGGGAATTATTTTTTTGTGATGGAGAAAGCTGCGTCAGTGTAGGGAGCTGTACTTTCTGATTAAAAGCCCGATTGAGATTGAGATTGAGAACACTTGAGATCCTCTATTCTATATCAGCTGTTGTTGTATTAATTGTGACAACGAATTGAATAGACGATGATCTTCTAAAGAAGATCATCTTGCTCGATAAATCACTAAAATAGCCCACAAATCATTGACATTGCGGTACAAAGAATTATAAAAATATTGAAACTTAAATTAGAAGAAGAGTTCCAAGGCCCCAGAGCTCAATGAATAGATTTATAGATAAAGAAGTGAATGGTAGAAAAAACAAATCCTGACTATTTCATATTGTCTAGAAATCAGTACTTTTGTACATTTAGTTCACTTTACTTGAACATCTAAATTTTAAAGTAGAGTAGGTATTTTACAAAAAACTGTATACACCATTGACACCGGTTCATTTTGATTGGTCGAAATTTAGTTTATTGAATATTTAATGTAGCTACTACAGCTAGTAGCTGTTCTGAAGAAAAAAAAACAATATGTCTTTATAATTATATTTAAAAATGTATGAAAACATTTCACAGTCTCTTCGAAATAGATGTTCACCCTCAAATATATGTACATTTTGATTTGTTTAGCAGGGGTTGAGTAGCGACTCCGCTATAGTATAAATAGCTGTCGAATAAAATTTTAACATCATTCAGGTAGATTTTTAAGCTGGAAACATGTTCGATTTTCTCCAAAACTTGGAAGACTCAAAAAGACCTTTACTCGGTCCTAACTTTTGGCTCATAAATAAAACTGGTCTTCTCTTACCTAAAACTAATTTTGGAAAGTTGGCTTACATTTTGGTTCACGAGATCGTAACCTTTTTTGTGGTAACGCAATATGTTGAGTTGTACGTGATTAGATCGGATTTAGATTTGGTTTTGACAAACTTGAAGATATCGATGCTGAGCATCGTTTGTATAGTGAAGGTGAACACGTTTGTATTCTGGCAAACGAGCTGGCGGGAAGTCCTGGAATACGTAAACGAAGCCGACAAATTCGAACGAAACCAGACAGACGAAACGACGGGAAAGATAATTGAAACTTACACCAAGTACTGCCGACGACTCACCTACTTCTATTGGGGTTTGGTATTCACTACTTTTCTAACCACAACTAATACTCCTCTAATGAGATATTGGTCGTCACCCATTTTTCGAGAAAATCTACGTAATGGTACTGAAGATTTTCCTCATATATTCAGTTCTTGGATGCCTTTTGACAAGAATCATTCACCTGGTAGCTACTGTACGATTGTCTGGCATGTTCTTCTGTGTGCATACGGAGCTGCGATCATGGCGGCATATGATACATGCATCGTAGTAATCATGGTGTTCTTTGGGGAAAAATTGAATCTGTTACGAGAACGCTGTAAGAAAATGCTCGCTAATGATTTGTATAATCATGCATTCGTCATTGGTCAACTCCACGATATTCACGTTCAGCTTATAAAGTAAGTAATAACATTATGCGCAGTCTTAAAAGAATAATAGATTTTTAAAATAAAATTAACTACCACATACTTTTCATGATATCTGCCTTCATTGGAAGCTTAACGATCCGTTAGATACCTCCCAACACTTATAAGTTTTTAGTCATTCATTTCTTTCATCGTTTTTTTTTTTTAACTTTAGGCGGAAAAGTACTTTTTCAAGTAAAATAATCGGGACCGCAGCCACAGTCCAAATTTTAAATTTCGCAGATGATTAATCAAAGTTACAGTTTTATAATTGGTAGTTTTTAATCATGAGGCCAATACTGTGTTTGGTATCAACTCTTAATATAACGTTATTAGTTATTAATCAATCTTCTGTCTCTCTCTTTACATATAGGTAAATATAAATTTGACATTCGGTTCCAAGAAATTGTTGGATGAACTTGAATTACAGAAAACATTCGAGCCACAAAACGTATTAACAGCACCCAAACCCCGAAACAGTAGAAAATATATTTCAATGGAATATTGTGTCTGACCAGGAATCGAACTCGGACTCATTCAGGGTCATTAGCCATTCTACCAACAAGAGGTTTATCTATGAAGTCGTTTACAATTAATCCGGGCCGTGATAAAATAACGTAGATATAATAACGATAGTCTACTCGAAGCGAATCTTTATAATTTAAGTATGAGGAGCACAAATCGGGACATACCTACGTTACGAATAGGATCTTTATCGTTTGTTGAAATGTGTTAACTCAAAATATTTAGCGTCCGTTTTATTTAATATTTCGAGGGGGAGGCAGATTAAATAATATATATTGCTAGGCAGAGGCGTATCAAAAATCCTCTTGAGAAATAAATAAATTAGAAATAGTTTTACTCTAAACTGATTATCAATATTAAATGAATTATTTTTATTTTATGAAAACACAATCTGGAACATCAACCAACACACACATGCTATGTTTGAATAGTCACGCGGCTGTTTTTCCGTGTGAAGCCAAATAAAACGGTCAATAGAACGGCGAACTGGTAAAACGGGGCAATGCAAGAAAAATAGCAATAGCATCCAACTTTTACTAAGAAATCAAATGGTTATATTCAATGAAACTTAATGAAGCTTAACTTAATGAACCTCATCTGAACATTGAACAGATATCGATATCATCATATTAAAATATTGTAAACAATTACGGAGATTATAATATTTTATTACACTTTACTCCGATTATCGGGATGATCTATTTTAAGGTTAATCTTCATTACATTTTACTTATGACAAGGATAACGAACCAAATAGGGAGAAGCCTTCTTAAAAGAAATTGCAACTTCGTGAGATGTCACGTAATGTCGTAACATCACATTGAAGTTGGTAGTTTAACGTCGTAGTTAGTAATACCAAATCGCCAAACAAATAAACCGCTTTACCCATTTAGAAATAGTTAAACACGATAAACATTATTAGATTCCAGGATCTAAGCTTTATATAAATTAATAAGCTATCTTACTACTGCTCTTTTTACTGATGGTAGGACCTCTTGTGAGTCCGCACGGGTAGGTACCACCACTCTGCCTATTTCTGCCGTGAAGCAATAATTTATTTCGGTTTTTGAAGCTTGGGGTAGCCGTTGTAACTATTTTTGAGACCTTAGAACTTATATCTCAAGGTGGGTGGCGCATTTACGTTGTAGATGTCAATGGGCTCCAGTAACCACTTAACACCAGGTGGGATGTGAGCTCGTCCACCCATCTAAACAATAAAAAAAAACTTAGTTATTTAGGTATTAAACCATACAACATTTATATTTTAAAATATCTTACTACGTAATTTAGCGCATAATATTTTTTTTAACATTTTCAAAATATAATACATTTCGCTCTTCTAGTCTTTGACTTGATTCAATCTCACCTACTTAAATTAGAACAGCACAGTACATTTTTATCATTTCTTCTACTAAAACTAAAGTGGTATAGAAATAAAATGATTACAGTGAAGCACAAATTATGTACCTAATATGGTCGATAATAATTTGGAATACTTAGCGATCTATTAATACAATAAAAATTTGGAACGTATTTTAAGTTAAGAGAAAAGCTGTGATTTGTATCTGAAATCTTTTATCGTGCTCTTTTAAAAATTACCTAAAACAACTCGAGCTACACAAGTGTTCGTAGCCTGGTGAATTATGTACAAATATGAACTGCATTTATACAATATTACAAGTTTAAATTATTACGTATTTCAAATTATTTATTAAATTGCTACGTATCAATTTAAAAAATACGTACTGTTGTTTATGGAAGGATTTAATAGAGATCCTTGAAGAAAATTTAGAGAGATTAGTTCTCAATCAATGAAAAATGTAGTAAAAATGAAAATTCAAAAACATTTAACGAATTATCGTGTCGATAAAATTAATGTTCTCAAGCACTAAACGTCCGCGTTCTGATGAAACAACTGCTCAAACGAATTTGAACTTTATAGGAACAAAATAATAATTAGCCGTTGAACATTTTGTTACTGTTTATGTTACAGACAGTCAAGGCTTTTCAATTCACTGCTCTCACCGGTAATGTTCTTGTACATATTAATGTGTTCTTTGATGCTCTGTGCCAGTGCGTATCAACTTACAGTAAGTGGGTTCTTGATTATTTGAATTATTTTTTACTTTCGCACGTCTTACCAATGCTGTTTTCACGTTGGACCAGATAATCTTACATGAAAAATACTGGCTAGCAGTTATAGTGTAGTAGTGTGCCTAACATTTCCCTCGCATCCAATTGCCATCAATGAAACATCGCGATTTGCCAATCAGCTCCGTAAAAGAACTGTGAATGACTCAATGGTAAAATGAAACGACTCGATAACTGTCACGCTGATAATAAATTAATTTATAATTTTATAGTCAGCAACGAGTACAGCTCAGAAGTTATTGATGGCAGAATATTTGATATTCGGCATCGCTCAACTGTTCGTATTCTGCTGGCACAGTAATGACGTTTTATTCAAGGTAAGGAACTATTCTTCTATAGCCCGGCCACTGAAAAGCATGCGTCTGTAATCGAATGTGAACTGTGTTACTTAGGTACATAGACCTATATAATAGTTACCTACTTAGAAGTTTATTTGACGCACTCATAGACCTAAACTTCAGTGGACGCACTAAATAAATCAATTTATTTAGGCAAAGGCACGCTATCATTCTTTTCAAATTAAATCGTTCGCATCATTTCGGCGGTCTTAAATCAACGAACTAATTTATTTTTAAATCACAACAGTAGCCGGAAAACCTTATATGGTATCTTGTTTGTTCCATTAAGAAATATTGTGATTGTTGTAGTAGTAGTATTCTTGCCAAATTTCTTTACTAACTCTCGCCTTATACCAGTAGTAAGAGTATTGTCTGTGGTTTTTGTACGACATTGTGACTGACGCCACCACCATCAGCTACATATTCTGGCTATCAAAGAGGTTCGTATGATTGGACCAAACCTTATTCACCAAATGTCTCACTAACTGTAATGTCATTTTATATATATTATATTTTATCCCATAACATCTCATCTCATCTGACTACATTTAATTTCATCCCAGTTGATTTATGTCTCAAAATAATCCTCTTCATTTCAAAAATAAGAATGTAAATTAAAATAAGACATGACTAAAAGTCATCATTACCGGGTTATAAAATCCCTTTAAAAAAAGGACTATTATTTTGTAATTATTCAGAATGCGAATGTGTCTCTCGGCCCGTACGAAAGCAACTGGTGGTCGAGCAGCCCGCGCGTCAGAGCGGACGTGCTGCTCTTGTGCGGACAACTTCGCGTCAGACATGTCTTCACGGCGGGACCTTTCGCGGACCTGACACTTTCAACTTTCATCAAGGTACTTATAGCGTGTTTCGTGCCATTAGCAACTCGCAAAAGCGGGTTTGAGTAAGGTACTACGCCAAAACATTTAGTACTAAGTACTTAGTACTTATAATCACTAATATTTACTAATCCTGTGCCTTTTATACTCTCCTGATGAATCACTAGACCTTACGTCTAGAGAATTTTTGTGTGGTTGCCGCTGAGCAGAATAGCACCACTTACATTATTTATATATATGATGGGATATATTTATGGGAACGGCCTGGCAGTATACTAAATTGACAGCACACCGTACAGTGCTCGCAGTGCAAGCCGAAAATGTGGTAGTTTACGGCGCTGTTTTTAAAATCTTGCCACTTGCTAGTTGCTACTATCGCGCCATCTTAATTGGCATCCTTTGAGCAGACACTTTTTAATATACTGAAATGGGGCTCCTTACATTTAATCTCCATATTTAAAACTAACAACATTTATGAATATGGGTAATATATTGAAATAATAGAGACGTAGGTAAAATTGTTAATAAAACTATTTTATTTCAGATCCTGAAGGGAGCCTACAGCTATTACACTTTATTAAGAAAATAAACGTCTACTTAACTATAGTGACCGAGCACTCAAAATCAAGAAACATTTAAATTTTAATAGATTTGTACAATTGACATAAGTACCTAGTGTGTACCAAATGTTTAAATTTAATTAATATATTATACTATTAGCACAATATGTTTAGTTTCTTTCATACATACCTACCCATGCAACATTAACTATTGTTAACAATATTAAAATAATTGCAAGCCCTTTTCACGGACATAATGATAGGCAGCGGCTTGGCTCGGTCCCTGGCATTGGTGACATCCATGAGAGACTTATCATCAGGAGGGTCTGCTCGTCTGCCTACAAAGACAATAAAAAAAACATGATGAGCATGTATTTAATATTAAGTTATCGTCCCTTAGTTCAATTATAGATAAATATGGTATGCTTTATGTTTATTAAATCATCATGCCTATTTCTAGTTCTTTGGAAGGCCAGGCAGGATAGCTATTCTGTTCTAATTGAGATTTTCATTCGTGTACAATTCAAGTAATTTGTACGTCTTGCAGTTAGTAAAAATATTACGTCACATAGATAAAAAGAGGTCAAGCTAATAAAGCTTAATAAAGTTCAGAAAACAATTCGTCACATGTGAATCGAATTCGAAAGTTGTAGCACCTAATCTTATCCCTGTCTATTAATTTGTAAATAAGCAAGGACTTATTTAGGTGTCTAATTAATGAAAAAACTCTTTAGAATAGACTTTATAAGTCTATTAAATTAGTTTTGGTGTTAATCTAGTTATTTGGTTGGTAAAAGTTTATTAACTCTTCTTAGGTTTTTTCTGGCTCATTTGAACAATCAAATCGTGTGGGTATAATGACGCGAGGAATGTAGATCTTTCCGATAACCTTTAATAATTAGAATCGGTACATTAGTATCTGAAGACAGCGTCAGAACGTTTCTTCAAAAAAGCGGCATGACACAATTAGTAGGTAACGAACAGTTTATTCCTCACACAGATCATAGGATGAAACTTGCTGTGATTAAATGCACTGCGATCGCAGACTGATTTTATGAGAGGTTTGTCATATTATGTAATAATATATAAAATATACCTACTTCCAAATTTTTTGTGAAAATAAAAGATAGACGTATGATATGATGTCTTAGCCTGTCCCAAATTAGAAAACTAACATAACATTACTGTCAAAATTGTCAAACTTGTGCTGAACTTTCTCTTTCACGAATAAATACGATTCTTTTGATAATTTTCTTTACACTTCGAAGTTTGAATTAAAACATTTATATTTGTATACGTTTAAAGCAAATAAACAGTTTTCTTTAAACCATCGAGTGATCGAGTGCAGTAAAAACTTGGTACATTTCAATCAAACCCGGGTAGAGTTCAATAAACTCTGATGTCGGGCAGACTGTAGAAATGTCAGCGATTGGTTTTCTGTTTATAATACCGTAAATAACTGTGCGTACCAGTCGCTGTGGGTGTTGCTATGGATAGTCAGAGTCCACCGGAAAGGACATCGCCGGTACAGTATGTCAGGAACTCGAGGGCTTTTAGACAGTTCAAAAACCCTCCTCAACCTCACATGTGTATACAAGACTCGGTAAAAGATTCTGCTGAAAAACTGTATATCAACGTGCTGGGATGGCAGAAGATCGCCAATCCAAAGCAATATTCGGATCCTATACCACTGTATGGGGGTATGCAGGTACATATTTTATTAAATTTAAGAAACATATTATTTATTTTCCAATGAGCGATATGATGCCGAAAAACCATTTTCTTTAAATTGATTCTTTAGAATTTACAACTAAGAAATGTTATCAAAAGCATTAGGCAGGCTTATTAATGTAATTTAACTAGTAGGCAATACATCTCGCTCCTTTGTTAAAAAATTGTTAAAATTTTATTAGAAATAAAGTTAATTGTAAAATTGCTGATATGGGGTAAGGTAAGTACATATAAACATACCATAAACTTTTTTGTAAAAATATTTCTGTTCATACTTACTGCTGTTATTAGATTTACTGTGTAGATAGAATAGACAGAAGTTAAACAGAGTTTGAAAAAGGTTTTGAAAATTACCTGCATCTGTAGTATCAAAACTATTATTGAGATTCTAATAAGTTATTATAAAGTTATTATACAAACATATATGGAAAATAACATTTACCTTCTAAGTTAAACACTGATAATATTAAAATCATGAGTAACAAGTACTGCCATCTTGTCTTCATAACTTATATACATAGTAATCTACATTAAAACAAACAGACAAGATTATGTAAGTGATAATATTAAAGAAGCCATTTTAATGTCTAAAAGCATTTATTGTAAATCTTAAATTGTAGGTGCCACAAAACTTTGCCATGAACAACAACAAGCCCCCGTTGCTTGTTTTTGCTGTAATGGTGAACCCTGATATTTTGAAGGCAAATGGAAAGAATGCAGCAAGTCCAAGTGTAAGTCTCACAATATGGACAAATAAAGATCCATTAAAAATACTACTATACTCAAAGAGATGGAGATAGAATTTATAGTAGCCCGTACTCTTTATCTCAATCAAGATGATAATAAAAGTACCTGAATCTAGTGAAATGTAAACTTAAAAAGCTAAATTATGACCTTTAATGAGACCCTTTTATGGTTTAAACACCAAATTTTTTTATTTATGACACAATTTATAAGGTTTAAAATATGTTTTACTGTAGAAGTGAACTAAGAAAAGATTAAGAAACAGAAAAGCTATTAAAATGTTGAACATACATTAGACAACTTACCATACTAGAAGAGGTTTTATACGACAAAGGGAAGATCTTCCACTGAGCAGGTCATATTGAGTGGTAGACTGAGTTTGAATGTTATTGTTCAGAACTTGTATATGTGTAAGCTTATCTTGAAAATGCTGTAAGCAAAATTCAGGCATCTGTTAAATATCTTGTGTTCTGTGAAAATTACCGTCACACCCTGTCTAGTAAGTTGGTGGTACCATGTGGATGATGAAACCGTTTAGTATATTAAAATCACAACAAAACCGTATTTGGTATTTCCAGGACAGAGAAGCACTAGTTAGTCTTCTTTGCGATTTCGTAGAAGCAATGAATCCCGGGCTTCTCTTAGCTCGCAACCCAATTATATTAAAGGATCGAGACCTTGCTGGAGAACTGAAAGATGTGTGGATTGCCGTACAAAACAAAAGGGAGAGAGAGAAAGGGGTGAATCAGGATGTTATGTACAAAGTATGTTCTACTCTTCTATTTTGTTTCTTTGCTTTGAAAACGTGTTTTTAATTTTTGTTTAGGTTCTTAGAATATTTCTTTTCAATGTTCATAAAATCGTGATAATAATCCATGAACCTAAAATTCATTCAACATAAATTTTGTATTTACAGGTATATGATATTGACGGAATTGGCGTTGAAGATATTGACGATGACAAACTACGAAATCACCTTCAAGACAATGGCTCGCCCAGCAAAGGAATGAACGACAAGAAAAATCCAGTGAAATCTTCTAAACAGATTCTCTTAAATGCCGGTCAAAAATCTGAATTTGACTCTGGCATGAACAACTATCAACTTAACCAAAATGTTAGGGATAATCGAAGTGGAAGCAGTGCAGATACTACATACTGCACTCCGGTCTGTGGTCAAATAGTTTCCAGTAGGGAAAACCACAACCAAATCAATGAGATACAACAAAAGTTTTCCACAAATGAAATCAAACCCTCCAGCTCATTTCGAAAAGACTGGAATCCTGTACACGGCAAAACAACAGAAGGTTGGGATGAGTTTTCTAAACGCAATGTATCTTTAAAAGAAGACAAAAAGAAAAGTAAAACAGAAAAGAAAAACAGTAAACCTCATTATAATTTCTTTCCATTCTTTGACAATAAATCAAGTGAATCAGCTGTCGCGGATGGCCTGGACCCTGGTAGACAGTTAAATGAAGACAGTAGTAAAGTTATTTTAGACCCAATGCAGAAATTAGTTCTGCATTCGACTGATAATCGAATATGTGATAATACGGCAAACGCCCTCAGTTCTATTAGCTCATAAATGTAACTTTGTACAAATTGACATCGGTAAGTTGTTTGAATGTTATTGATATCATATGAGGTATTGTGGTGCGAGGTAAAATTTTTATTTCAAAATGTTTTACACATTCATTACTTAAATCAAATGTATACACTTTTAACCATACTTTGGAAATTTTGGACTTCTAATTAATAATCATGGTTGTCACACTCAGTGACCTCTAGACAACGGTTGAAGTTAGCTATATAGAATATAACAGGTTCATGGTTAAGATAAGTCAGAGTTGTCGTGGTGGCAGTGGTGGGTGACGATGACCACCGGCTCGTCACCGAGACCGCCAACCGATTTCTGCCAAGAGACTTCTCATTCGTAATTAGATTATTGAGTATTTTCGATTTAGATTCTATGCGAGATCAAATAATACGTTATGGGTCCATAGTCCATATGTCGCGCCACTTTCATCAGACACGGTCTACTAATTTGATTTTTGTGATTTAAACTAGTCGTTTTATTAATTACCGTTGACACGAACAACATTTGCTCTTAAACCAGAGTTTTTAGATAAATTTATTATGAAATATATGTAGCTCTCAGCTAAATTATACCTAAGGGCCTGGGCACACTACTTTTTTTAAACGCGCCGTCGACGCGCGTTCGTAGCGATACAGACGCGATACGCACGCAAGTCAGACGCAGCCTGTAGACCTTTGCACACCTGTATAAATTCAAATACGCGTTTGAATCGATACAGACGCGATGCTAACGCGCGTTTGTATCGATACACATGCGCGTTAGCATCGCGTTTGAATCAATACAGACGACAACAAACCGCTCTGTAGGATAAACGCGCGCTTAAAAAACGTGGTGTGCACAGGCCCTAACTAAAACCAATTATACAAATTTTAAAATGTTCACAGCTCTGACAACTTAAACTAATTGTCATGAGTTTTCCTCGCTTAAATTAAACAACACTTCGTTTCAATTTAACTTAAATAGGGATGTAGAGTTTTTACTATAATAATTTTTATTAAAACGTTCTAAAACAAAATGACGAGTCGTCAGTCGCCGTCATTATCGTGCGAGCGAGATGGCGAGTCGCGTCTTTTATTTCAACGTTACATGATCAGATGTGTAATAACAACCTTTGGCCAATAAAAATAAATGGGTACTGTTTATCATTCAACATATAAATGGCCAAAATACTTTACTTTAATACTTTTGGCCAAAAATATAAATGCTATTTACACATTATAAATATGTGTTCATAAGCACTAATTTAAATGGGAATCTCGCAAAATTAGATTAAATTGCTTACAACAATTTTATTTTTCTTGAGTTCATTAAGTTCTCGAATTCCTTAAAATAATCGAATATTAGAATTTTTCCTTTTCTAAAATTATAATTTACAATACTGTAGGCTCATTCATATTATATAACAAATGAGCAGAAAACTTTCAATTCGGTTTCAAAAACAATAACGGATCGTATTGCACAACTTGCTGAGAACAAAATTGAATTGAGTTATGAGTTGGATCCTGCAGGCTACTGTCGCTTTCTCAGCCTGTATGCCGAAGACAGCAGACAAACTACTTCTTGATAAATAGAGGATAGGCTTTTTTGCAACGAGTTTGGGACATATAGGCTTCTATAAATGTTCCGTAACATAATCGAACAGAAACCGGTCCCATTACTACGCGACACGCTCCCCTGAGCAGGGTCTCCCTAGTGCTGGGAAGACCTGTCGACTAGACGCGTCGAGGAAACGTGTCCTAGTAGATTTGACAACTCTGAGATATAAGAATGTTTTTACTACATAAAATAAAACGAACTACGTACAAGCCAAACGAACTGTTCATTACCTGCGAAGCGCCCGGACGGACAGATTGTCAAAAGCCATTGCTCAATCTGCAAGTCACATTCACGTTATGATTCTCAAAGACGTTAAAAGACCTTAAATTTGCGTTATGTGATCTTTTTTTTATTTCTATTCTTTATTAGAGCCATACTTATGTGATCATTTAAATAAGAAACAAATATAAACTTGATAGGAATTAATAAGATAAACAACACGATTCGAAATTGAAAACATCCTCATTGACCGGTATATACCTATATTAGATTCAGGGATGGGATGCTTGGCGAAGCTGGGGCTGGGGAGGCCAGCAGTGGAGGTCTATAAGCTGAAATATAAAATAATACGTAAATTTGCAATTTATTTTGGAATATTGACCACCGTTATTCTAGTACTAAATTGTCAGTCCTCCTCCTTGCGTCGTATTCCTCACTGCTGCGGGTCGTACCACTGTTTTGTATCACCGTCGCAAGTACGATCTTTCTCCATCTATTCTCTGGTCTCTGTCGGTGCGGTGGAGGGCGTTGTGAAATGTGGAATCAAGAGCGGTGCGGATCTGGTCGGACCAGCGTATTGGGCTGCGCCCCCGAGGTCTTTTTCCTCACAACTGTCGGTACTTTAATTAAATTTAATTTCACCATATACCCACAGAGTATTATCATCTACATATAACTGATAAGTTGCCATTCAAATTATCTCATTAAGAACAACAAATTAAATACAAAATCAAAAATGCTCTTATTCAGGTCCTGGAGCAAAGACAAAATATAAAATTGGCATAAGTAATTTATGTATTCTTGTTATAATATAATAATTACCCAACCAGTGCCAGTGTTCTTTATAATAATTTGAACTAGCCACATAGTGTATTAAAATTTAATAAAAAATTATAGCTGACATCCACTGCCGATTTTATTTGAGTGATGATGCTGATGACGTGGGCTTGCTGAGCCTTCGGCGTCACAGAGCTACTACACCTCGAACAAACTAAATATGAACCAATCGTTTCACGTCATCAAAACCAAACGGGTTAGGTTAAAAACTGACTGATTAAAAAAATATTCAATCATTTTTAACCAAAAACTAAGACCTCCCCGTTGCGATCACAATAGGTCTTCAATTCGAATATTAAATTTTAAATAAACTGTAATAAAATAAATTGTAAGGTTTTACATGTTTATATATATTGTTAAATAAATAAACAACTGTTAGGAATTTGTATTTTTTTACGCAACTTCGATTACAGTAATACGTTAAGGACACAAAGTATGACGGCGGTAGTGACGCACTCCCGGCCGCAGCCGCGGGGCGCGTGACAGTGACACTGTCACGTTGTAGCACTATTGACCTCCCGGAGTGAGGGACAACAATATATATACCTACATAATTTGCCTTAAAAGATTATATAAATAGTACATAATTTTGTAATAGTGGCAGATTTTTTTAACGAATGTATCTTAAAAATTTAGTACTGATGTATTGTAGATTTTTATAAAAGTCATGTAGTTAGCGTAAATCGTTAGTTGGTCTAGTAATCATTCCGCGGGAACCGAGGTCCGAGTCCCGACCGGAGTTAAATCTCTTTATTAAATGTATTTGTGACTCGTGATCAGTGTGCTTATCGCGAGTTTTTTAACATCTAGATCGCGTAAAAGTTAACTCAAATTTGTATGCAGTTAGAACAGCGCCCCTAGCGGCAAACGTAGTGGCGTTGTTCCAACTACATACTTTGAGGTAACTAGAAGTTAAAAAACTCGCACTAAGCACACTGCGCTTACATGTTGATATCCCGTAGGTGTGTTTCCAGCACCCGTAACAAGAGATAACAGAGATGCTTTTTTTGCAATGAACGCTTTTTTACATTGTTTTTTATTAGTATGTAATTCAGTCTTTAATTTTTGTAAAGGCGTTATCTATAGGTGAACATATTTTAAAATATTACTGCTTACATTTTTAAATATCAAATTATTTATATTATATATGAATGCTATTTATATCAGAATTGATTTCATACATAGCTTTTGTAGGATTTCACCGTCATCTTTAAACCTAACTTCATCAAAAAACCTTTCAATAAAATACCCATTATTTACTGAGAATTATTTGGACTTTACGGAGGAACTTATGTGATTATTACATTTTCCATATATGTATTCCATTTTCGGAGACCTGTACTCTTCCATAAATATTAAATACCAAATATGACGTCATTACACATTTCAGCCCTTATACACTAGCGTAGTAAATTCACAAAATTAAACACGATTCAAACGAAAGACAAACGAACACAAATTTAAAGTACACCCACAACTACCCAAGTATTCTATTTAACCAATGTTACTAGCGGGTTACATTCATTTGCATATATTATAGAATATTGTGCATCATGATGTAACAGCACTTTAAATTTAAAATCAGTCAATCAGTACTAACCGTTGTCAAATATAAAAAAATTAAATAGTCATTGTATTAATAGCTGCATGTTATACAAAATTTCAGGAAATAGTTAAATGTGTGATACAACATACAACACTCTAATTACGAACTGAATGCTACTAGTAACACTGGATAAGCGCTACCTAATAATGTTATTATTAGAACCAAGTATTTTTGCATTTATTGGAAAGTTTTACAATTTTTTCGAAGTGCTGCATTAGATTTTTAATGTCGTAATTTAATTAATTAAAACTTAGCTAGACTTGCATGTATTCATTGTTTTGAATAATGATTTGTGGTTTTTCTATGTAATCGATATAATTAATAAACGAGTTAATGTTCCTTTTTATAATTTTTAAACAATATTATTTTATAATTTGTTAGTTAAGTTTTTAAATATTTTCTTTAGATTGTATGATTTTTTTAATTCGGCAAAGCATTTGACATTTAAAAACGTTATGTTTGCAATTAATGATGGACTAGTCTCTGATGAATATTACAGCACAGTAATATGAGGGTACTCAAAGATTTTTAATGTTTTTTAAATTTAATTCTATCTGAATCAGCTTTATTCAAGAAATTTTAAATAAGAATTAAAAAACACTATTTTACATTTTGATGTAATCATATTATTTATAATTTTGTATCGAATAGTAGTATGCAACACAGCAAATATAAGTGTAAGGTGCAGAGCGTCAGATGCGCTATGTTTACACTGAACATGTGGATGTTCTGACGGGCTCTTAGCAGCGGCGCCCACAGTAAACTGAACTCAACCTATAACAACTGAAGCTCTTAAAATAGCAGCTATAAAGTAACCTTACTGTGTTGTGTACTTAATTAATAAAATCGATGTAATTATTTTTAAAAGTAAATAACAGATCTCTCGTTTACAGTATTTAAAATTAAACGTTGTTTACAAGACTGGTATTTGTAGTTTTATTTCTGTTTATTTAAAAGACAATAACTTGCGAAATTGTTTCGTGATGAACATATTACGATGTAACATATTACGATGTTCTGTGACGGTTTAATCTGCGTTTTTTATTATCATTACATTATTCGCGATATTTCGAATACTTTAAAGTTTTCATGGTCACTAACTGTAGGTGTATAGTATGTTTTGGCTATTTGTTAAAGTAAACTGTACTGGTTTTAGTTGTGTCAACGTCCCGTGATACTATACGAGTACGTTATCCACGGACTGAACCTCGGCACGCGCCTCAAGACGTGGGGTCGAAAAAGCTTTATATGGCACAACGACGGCAGTAGTGCCGAGCACAACGCGCGTTACTGTTTCCGACGGGACGCAACATCGGTCCGTTCGGACTTTGGACTCACAACACACCTTGCCTCTAGTGAAGTGAGTACCGATTGGCGATGGCAGTACGCTCATCGAGCCAGTCGACACCGAAATCGAACGTAGAGCTTCTCTGACCCCTCGGTCGCGTTCCTTCATTCCCCTATTGAAGTTAAAGAAGCAATTGAAACTTAAACCGACGAAAGGCACCCTTTTTTTTTTTTATCGGGCCGGGTGCCGAACCTCCTACGAGGTGCCCGCGCCTAGGGGGCGCGCGAGGTATGTGAGACTCGACGATCTGCAGGTGTTGAGAGCAGATCGCGGGCCCAAGGATTTTAGGGCCCACCCACTAAACGACTCCCCAGCACTCTTACACCCGACGTCCGATCTCCGTCCGGGGTCAGAACCCGGTCAGAGTAGGGGGGTTCCCGCGGTCAACACTACAACCAGACACGCCGCGCCACCACGAGGACGCCCGACCGACGGGTCGTCGAGGCGATAGTCGACGACCGACGACGTCGGTCTCCGCGGTACGGCGGCCCTGCCAGGCTGCCCAGGCGATGCCGCTGGTGTTCCGGGATACCCCGCTGGGCCAGAACCAGCCTGCCGGGTCGGAACGCGATACACCGCCGACCAGGTTTCTCTTCCACAGTATGTTCGGCGACGACAGCGACGACGAAAATGCGGACCGCATCGCAGTCCGCAGCCACCATCGCGTCGTCCCGTCCTCCTGGTGCCAGCGCGCTAAAGTGACGGTAGCGTGCGGCGCAACCTCAACCCCCTTAGGTCGCCCCGTGGCCATCACCGGGAGGAGACTGCCTCCTCATAGGGGCCGGAGCTGGACAAACGCCCTCCTCCGACCCCCGGCTCGGCGGCGGCGGCACGGCGCCGAGAGGGAAGAAGAGCTCTCCCTCTCCTGTTCCGCCGCCTCGTTCTGCGAGATGGTGAACTCGCAGAAGTCGAAGAAGGCGTGTGCGAGTGCGAATAGTGATAACTCAGTATTCATAATATTATGTACAGTTCGCGGAAAAAAATTACACATGAAGTTACTCATTTGGGCTGTAACTTTATTTACCAAACATGAGCTAGCGTAAAAACAGTTTGAAACAGAAGTAGGTATTTCTTTTTAGGTCAGTACCCATTTACGGGAACAATACATCTATTAAATCAATTTATCTTAAATTACGTAATATTATTCAAAAGACAGCTCATCTTCTAGTGCTTTTAAAAATACTTAAGAAGTCTATAACCTAGGTTCCCTTTGTCTATCTAGCGCGCAAAAATGTAAAAAAGCCTATGGTAAAACTCGCCGTTAATATTATAAGTTTGTGAGCATGTACCCTCTTTTCTAGATTATTGTGGGTGCTGTTTTATGTCAGATGTTATAATTGAATACAATTAGTGAGATATAATAAAATTATTCGAATATAATTATTTGGAAGTAATTGAAACTGTACGAAAACATTTTATATTCGGAAAACTATTGCTTATAGGTTAAGATGAATCGTGGAGCCATTGGTGAGTTAAAGGCTAAAATGAAAAATAATTTCCATGTCATAGCTACCTTCGCAATTAATCGTAGGCTATAAAAATGATAATAAAATTAAAATTATATTAGGTATGTACTTACCTACATCAAAAAGCAGCAAGCAAATTTTTTTCACACCTATTTTAAAAATATTTTTAATGAGGTTTATTAGTATCATGATAAATAGTATTTCAAAATTAAAATCACGCTTTAGTCTCGCGTTTTCTTACGGACCACTGGCCACGAAAAATATAAAACAAGAAATAAGAAAGGAAGACCGACGGAAGAACCGAAGAAAATAATAATTTATAGTCTTTCATTATGATTTATTTCAGTAAAGACTAGCAAAAAGAAGTCCGGAAGCAATCGAGCTGGCCTGAGTTTGCCTGTGGGCAGGATCCACAGGATTTTACGCAATGGTAACTACGCCAGTCGCATTGGCACAGGTGCCGCGGTGTATTTGACTGCAGTATTGGAATATTTAGCAGCAGAAATTTTAGAATTGGCCGGAAAAGCTGCCGAAGATAATGGCAGAACTAGGTAACCTTACAAAACGCATATCTAATAGTATAACGGAGCTAATAGTATAACCTTTAAAAATGTGCCAATTTTCTGAGACTTGATGAGCATTTGAATTTTATAGCTACTGGTGTTAGAAGTATTTTATTTTGTGATGAAGCAGAAGTGGAGTTGTAACTATTTTTGCCATTTGTGACCGACCGAATTTACCATGATCAACGGATAAACCGACAATGTAAACATAAAAATAGTACCCACATTTACTATGCTGTATCGACATTGAAAAAGTAATAATTTCCAGGATATCACCACGCCACATCTTGCTCGCTCTTCGTAAGGATGATGAACTTAATAGAATGTTATCGGGTGTGACCATATCTCAGGGAGGAGTTATACCCAGGATTGAACCCCAGTTATTACCTAAAAAAACCGCTATAAAAAGTAATTATTCTAACAACACTAACAACTCATCATCACAAGACTACTAACTGCAAGTTAAGACAGTTGTCATATTAAATTAACTAGTTATTTTTGTGTGTTCCTTAGGATTATTAGACTGGCTCTTGTTACTTAATTGTTTGTGTATTCTGGAGAAAGTATGTTTTAAAATTAAGAAAATAAAGAATTCCCAAGTTTCTTCATTTTTACATAATCTTAGTTTTACTGACACTCAACAATTATCAAGAACTGATTGAAATAAAACCTAACCTCAGAGTAGGGGAGTCCTCGCGGTCAACAGTATAAGTAGTCTCGCGGCGTCACTCCTAGGACGCTCGAATAACGGTGTTAACGTTTGGTCGAAGTGATAGTCGACGACTTTACATCGGCCGTCTCGGTACGGCAGCCTGTCGGGTCACCCGCGGCGGTGCCGCTGGTAGTTCGGGATAGCCCGTTGGACCAGAACTGCCATTCGATTACTCCGTATAGATTCTCGTACTAGCACAAATGCTTTCTCGCTACAGAATCCACAGCACCGTTATATTTACACAAACTAGAAAAAAAATTATTTAGGGTAGACAGAGGCATGGTTGTGCTCTTGACTTAACCGATTCTGGCCTCGTCCATTGAATTCTCAGTAGAGATTCCCACTATTTTACTAGGGTATATAATCTTATATACCTACTGTGCTATCTCATTTAAAGCCCTTCCATGCCCTGCGTCAGCTTCTCACGCACCCCCGGATCGAGTGTTCATTGTGCCCTGCGCTTTATTCAGGTATTGCCTTGATCTCACCTCTAGCATCCTACCTCTCCAAATCCTTACTCTCCAACTAAAATTATCTATCATGAAAGTCGACAAAAGAAAAAGAGTTTTTTCGGCGGATCCCCATTCCACGTTTAATGTGGATTTCAGCAATGTCAGGGGCCTACACAGTAANTCAAAAAAAAAAAAAAAAAAAAAATTCCGTTTAATACCACTTTTTATACTAGACAAAAATGATTTCAGCTTTTGTTACAAAAACCTATTTAAAGGTATGTCCAGTGACGATTGCTCGTGAGGCGCATAACAATTGCCCACAGCAATGATAGTAGCAATGATAGTAATGATACTGAACGACGTCCACAACCGCTCTGACACCATAAAGGAATATGGGCTATGATTCTTTTCCCAGTCTAGTGGAAAGTTCATAAAAATCATTATCAAGTACCTCAACTATCCTCGAACTTTTTTGCGGGAACGCGAGCAAAGTTGTGTAAACTGTTTTCTTCTTCTTTTCTTCAACTTATCCCACTAGGTGGGGTCGGCACAGCTAATTTTTATTTTCCATTCTCTTCTATCAGCCGTCAGCTCAACGCTCACTCATCTCTGTCTCATATCGTCATTCACACACTCCATCCATACCTTTTTCGGTCAACCTCTTCCCCCTCTACCTTGCACTACCATTTTCATACATGTAGCATGTTACATGTTGTGTAAATTGTTTTATTTTGTCTATTTAGTGTTTCATCAGGGTTAAATGTGTAATAACGGTGGTTTATTGACTGTTTAGTATCTGTGAAAGTGCACAAATCTGGGAAAATGAAACAAAGCCGCTGGATATAGCTTCTGGGGTCCTCCAAAGAGTCCACTGAAAAAGTCTCAGTAAATAATCGCCATTTTACTGAGAGTATATCTCATCCCATATCATCTCATCTTATGTAATTTCACTAAATTTTATGCCAATTGATTATTGTTCTAAATTAATCGACTTTATTTCATTTCATATTATCATTTTTCTCAAACTTAAATTTAAAGATAGATTTTATGGTATGATATCTTTGCCTTTCCATTTGGAAAAATAGGACTACTACTACATCACTACATCAACAATCAACAATACTCATTAATTGTCATTATTGTCAATTTGTCACATGGATGCTTAAAAACGTACCTTAAACAAATCCTAGTGATTTATTTATTAGTAAATTGCAAAAAACAATGCATCCGCTACTCAATACCGTCGAAACAATTTTAATTTGATTGTTTAAAAATTACTGCAAAATAGGAACTAACGGCGAAAATAAATTTCATTTTGAAGGTTAGGTGCGATATATATTGAGAAATGAATAGGGGTGGTCGGTGGAATCGTAAAAAGAGTGGAAGATTCAGTACAGGTGGTAGAGGTCGCGGCGGTCATGGATTCGATAGAGGAAATCGTAATTTTGTCAAGGGTGGCCCCCCAAACCAATGGAAAAAGATAAAAAGAGACATACCAGGTCCGAGGATTTCAGAATCAGAAATAGGAATTACAGAATATATAAGTGACCATAAAGGATTTATTGGTATTATTAAATGGCGGTAAGTTTTTTTATGGTCGTACAGTCTGGTCACCATATTTCACAGCACACTTGATAAAGGGATTCTTAATCTCATAGACTTTAACATATAAGTCGCAACAAATACAATATTGTTACAGTTGCATTTGAATTCTAATCTTGTCAAACTTTTGTGTTGATGCATTTTTTATTGATACATAGAAGTATAAGGCAGGATGGTTTCCCAGTCTGATGAGTTCATGATGATGCGCTAGTAAACTGAGTGTTTGCGCATGTATAATACATAAATTATATCGTAACTAAAAAAGAGCTTAACCATTTTCATGAATGTATTCACACCATTATGATATGATGTTACAGGTACTCTGACTTTCAAGTATCAGAAATCAATGAAGATGGTGTTATAGCGAAATTAACAGATCTTAAGCCACCTGAACCCCCAGAAGATGAAGTTATAGATGACGATGAAAGCCTCTTATTGAATAAATATAACTTGGAAATTCTTCCTATGGAGATATGGGATAAAATTAATGTTCTATCTTTAGGTAGTAAAACAACTACTGAAAGTGTTGAAGTAAGAGAAAAGTAGTTTTTTTTTTTCAATGATTACTTAATAATTAAAAATTTGCAGCTGAAGATAACTTTGTTTAGTAAAAATACTGAATTTTGCTTGAAGATTCAAGCAAAAAAGCAGGATTTTATGTTGATTTATAAAATAAGGTTAAATTGGGGATTTCTCTGCCAGATTCAAACCACTTTGCAAAACACTAATTTTATAGATAACTATTGGAATTTTGTTATTGAATAATTTGTGACTACAAAATGGATTGTCGTTTATTAAATACATTTTTTAAAACAGTTGTTTTCGGTTTTGTGTAAGGTAAGGTGGAGAATATTGCTTTTGATTCCAGAATGTGTAACAATCTAAAAACTTCATAAAAATAGTGTCCACTTCAGGATTTGTTCCCCTAATCAAAATTAAATCTCAATAAAATAACAATTACAGAGGATATGTCAGTTGTCTACATATTAATTAATTTTAACAGATGTATAATATCATTGGTTCAATTTTTAGATAGATGCAAATGATATTTCAAAAGAAGAACGAACAAAAATGCATGATGCTGTAAAGAAAGCTTTTGGAGACAGTATTGTAAGCAGTACTGTCAATATAGATGGAAAAAAGTTCATGAGATTTGAAAAATACCGAAAAGGAGGTAATTTATATTCTGGCCTAAATTTATATCATTCTTACAAATCAGATAAATTAAACTCATGTAGTATGTAAACATTTGGAAGCACAAAACTTCAATTAAATGTTTAATGCTAAAATAAGGTTCAGATATCCCGTTTGTATAAAAGAATAACCTTAAATTTTGAAAACTGACAAGATATGTGAGGCTATACTTGATGATACTATGTTTTACCTAATAGCTGTCACTAGTATTAATAATTAGTTCCATAGGACTATTTGCCAACAGTGAAGTAATACCTTAAGCAACATCAATTGGTTAAATTCCATTATTTTTAGTATATGTCGACAGAAGGATAAAATGGGTGTGGCCAGAAGAATATGTACATTTTATAGTACATAAAGAAAATTGTGACACAATGGAGGCTGCTGGCAAGATAGCTGCTAGGCTAAGACTCAAGTGAGTTAACGGCTTAGATAGTTACAACATACTACATACACATATTAAAATTATGATGGATTGAATTTATTTTAAAGTAGCTTCATTTACAAGAAAGTTGTTAAGAGTGACATTTCAAGGGCTATGTTCTGTAAAATTAAACAATCATCAGACAATGTACTAAAAATGAGTTTTTCATTCATTCATTTTCTACTTTGCTCTGTGCTTTTTTCAGCATATTGTTTAGCATGAGGTGGCTTGTTGGACCACTGATGTCATTATGTCTTGATGTAATATGTGTCTGTGGCTAATATCAGAAACAGTGCCTCAGTTTGTGTGTAAGCTTATATTATTATGATTATCAAAATCAACTGAACATAATTAATTTAGCAATAAAATTAATCAGTTGGAAGGAAACATATTGCCAGATTTTTCAGTCACATAATGTTAGTTTAATTCCAGCGTGAAGCCCACGATGTTGGGATATGCCGGTACCAAAGATCGTCGCGCAAAGACGTCGCAGTGGTTTAGCATGCGCAAGGTGGATCCTCGCAAGATTGTGGCAGCGTGTCAGGATCTCAGAGAAATACACGTCGGGAACTTTACTTTCAGTTCTAAACACATTAAACTTGGCATGCTGAAGGGCAATAGGTAATGTTGATAATTGTTAGTTTTGCGTATAAAATTCCAAGGTGGTTTGCCTTACTGGCTCACGTTGTGATGTGACCCACCCATTCTGAACTAGTTAGTGATAGTACTAACGTGACCCGGGACAGGTTCCGCATCGCCATCCGCAACGTGGAGGACGGGGCGGGCGCGCGGGCGGCGTGCGAGCTGGTGTGCCGGCGCGGGTTCATCAACTACTTCGGCCTGCAGAGGTTCGGCACGCAGGCCGACATGCCCACCTACCACATCGGTCGGTTCTTGCTGCAAGGGGAGTACCAGAAGGTAATTTTATAAAGCGCCCTATTAGAAGAAAATCAAATCAAGAGCGTGCGACACCAACTTGTGGCAGTTTATTTGGTAGTTAAACTCATTAGTGTTCAATTGTTTTATGCTTAATAATAAGTACTTTACAATAATTACTGGTGGTAAGACCTCTTGTTTGCACGGGTAGGCATCACCACCCTGCCTATTGCTGCTGTGAAGCAGTAATGTGTTTCGGTTTGAAGGATGAGACAGCCGTTGTAACTATATTGATAACTTAGAAATCATAACTCAAGATGGGTAACTATGCGCTCCGGTAACTACTTAACACCAGATGAGTCGTGGGCTCGTCCATCCAAGTAAGCAATAAAAAAAAGTAATTCATTTGACGGATATAACCTAGCTACGGATGCTTGTGGACTTCAGTAATTTCAGGGCACAGTGGAGCTGCCAGGATTCTTTGAACTTTGTTTTAAGAAAGATATATCATAATGTACAGGAACAACCGGATATAGCTCATGATTCACCTAGTGTTAAGTTACCAACTTCCATAGTGAATGCTTTGAGACACAGGAAAAAAGTCAATATAAAATGGCTGTACATATCTTTGGATCAAGATAATGACCTAAAGGCAACTTATATCTGCACCATCAGAAGTGCTGCTGATGAACTTGTGTGAATCCAGGCCATAGACGGCATCCTGTCCGTCCGCGAGGGGCCCCTGGAGCACGCGCTGCGGCTGTACGCGGAGGGCGCGGGGGCCGGGGGGGCCTGCGCCGCCGTGCCCGCCCGCGCCGCCGCGCTGCCCGAGGCGCGCCTGCTGCGGGCGCTCGCCGACACCCCCACCGAGCGCTCGTCCCGTGCGCGAGCGGGTACGTACGCACTCTTGCCAGGCGCCCGCCCCCCGCCCCGCGCCCAGCCCCGCGCCCGCCCGCGCGCCGCCGCGTTTTGCCCGAGCGCGCCTGCTGGCGGCGCTCGCGACACCCCCACCGACCTCGTCGCCGCGCTCGAGCGTGGTACGTACGCACTGCTGCCAGGCGCCGCCCCCGCCGCCGCGCCCCCGCGCCCCCCGCGCCGGCCCGCTGCCGAGGCGCGCCTGCTGGGCGGCGCTCGCCGACAGCCCCCACCGACCTCAGTGCCTGCGCTCCGAGGCGGGTACGACGCACTCGCAGGCGCCGCCCCCCCGCCCGCGCCCCGCCCCGCGCCCGCCCGCGCCCGCCCCGCCGCCGCCCGCCGCTGCCCGAGGCGCCGCCTGCTGCGGGCGGCTCGCCGACAAAGACCCCCACCGACCTCGTCGCCGCGCTGCGAGGGCGGGTACGTACGCAAGCTCTGCAGGCGCCGCCCCCCCCGCCCCGCGCCCCGCCCCGCGCCCGCCCCGCGCCGCGCGCTGCCCGAGGCGCGCCTGCTGGCGGGCGCTCGCCGACACCCACCGACCTCGTCGCCGCGCTCGAGCGGGTACGTACGCACTCGCAGCGCGCCCCCGCCCCGCCCCCGCCCGCGCCGCCCGCGCCGCCGCGCTGCCCGAGGGCGCGCCTGCTGCGGCGCTCGCCGACACCCCCACCGACCTCGTCGCGCGCCAGCGTACGGTACGCACTCTGTCAAGGCGCCGCCCCCCCGCCCCGCGGCCCCGCCCGCGCCGCCGCGCCCGCCCCGCGCCGCCGCGCTGCGCCCGAGGCGGCGCTGCTGCGGGCGCTCGCCGACACCCCCACCGAACCTGCGTCGCCGCCGCTCGAGCGGGTAGCGTACGCAGCTCTGGCAGGCGCCGCCCCCCGCCCCCGCGCCCCGCCCCGCGCCCGCCCGCCACCGCGCTGCCCTTTCGCGCCTGCTGGCGGGCGCCCGCGCCGACACCCCACCGACATCGTCGCCGCGCTCGAGCGGGTACGTACGCACTCTGCAGGCGCCGCCCCCCCGCCCCGCGCCCCGCCCCGCGCCGCCCGAGGTGTGGGGCAACAGCGTTAACAGCAGAGAGGCTGGCTGAAATCTATACACAAAATATCGCTTTGTTACATGTCGTCACTACAAGGATGCTTGTTGGCACAGATCCCGCGCAACGCTCGGCTGCTGTACATCCACTCGTACCAGTCGTACGTGTGGAACCACGCGGCCTCGGAGCGCGTGTGGCGCCTGGGCCTGCGCCCCGCCGCCGGGGACCTGGTGCCGCGCACCGCCCCGCGCCCCGACGGTCAGTCTCCTAATAAAATAACCTAATAAAATGAGTGATTTCAATTTCAAATTTAGTAACTTTTTCAGTAAATTATATTGAAAAACAATGTTACAGACCTCTGCGACGACAACTTCCATTTAGAAGTAACAGAGGGCAACGAGGGGGACGCGGAGGACGCGGACCCGCCGCGAGGGGGCGGGGCACAACCTGGCGATCAAGCGAAAGATGAATCTTCAGAAAGCACAGTAGATATTCGAAAATTAGACGTCAAAGCTCTAACACAGGAAGATATAGATTCATCTCGTTACACCATCTTCGATGTCGTATTGCCGCTCCCGGGGTACAGCGTGGAGTACCCGGACAACATGAAGGGATATTATGAGGAATTCTTAGAAAAAGACGGATTGGACATCAAGTTGAAGAACCGTGTCAAGTGAGTGGCAAGCGATCCCTTCGCTGCTTCGTTTATCGAATATAACAGATTATTAACTGCCTTCCTGTCGTTTCTGCAATGTTTTTATAGTCGACACGACACCTCTACAGCTACCGAAAGCAATCCCGGAAAGACCAGTCGTTTCGATATATGTTTCAGCTATTTCATAATAGATGGCGTTGCACTTCTCGAACATTCTCAATATTACTCTAGCTCTTTTGATATTTGTTTCTGCTATTTGATAATAGATGGCGTTACTCTTAGCGGTGTAACAATATACTTGACTACGCTGAACTCCCGGCAGGACGTACAGCGCGCGCGGCGCCGTGCGGCGGCTGGTGCAGCGGCCGCACGCTGCCAGCTGGGCGCTGCACCGCTACTCGCGCGCCGATGCTGACCTGCTCGCCTCCGACTTAGACGAGCTGGCAGCGCGCGTGCCGCCCGCCCCGCAAGAAGGTTTGCATCATTCCCGCAACGCCCACTGAAACCGGCTTACTCAAAAATTATAATAGTAAATAAATCAACTAGAGAAATTGCAGCATAAGAGTATTGCTTAGATTTTTAAGACAGCGCCATCTATTGGACACCCGCTCGACACTAACCCCAAAGTATCACAAACATGTAAACGAATCGCTTAGACTATATATTACAGCGCCATCTGTCAGACAGACGATCAAACTCAAACTCATGTTGATAATTTAACTTATACTGCCATCTTTTGAAAATTTACAGAACTCAGAACTTTTTGGCGGGAACACGAAGAGTGAAGTTGTGTGATTTGTTTTATTTTGTCTATTTAGTGTTTTTTCAGGTTTAAATGTGTAAAATAACGATAGTTTATTAACTGTTTAGTATCTATGAAAGTGCACAAATGTGGGAAAATGAAACAAAGCCACTGAACGTAACTTCTCGGGATCCTCCAAAAAGTCTACAGAAAAAATCTTAGTAAATGACCACCTTTTTACTGACATTATATTTCATTTTATTTCATTCCAGTTGATTAATGTCCCAAATTAATCATCTTCATTTCATTTCATTTCACTCCATATAAAATAAGAATATAAATTAAAATAAGACATAACTTAAAGGTTAGTACTTAGTAGACAAGTTGTGTCAGCTTTAGAAAGCTTCCCACGTCGTAGCATTTAGAATTTTTAGCAGTTGCACTCCTGTCTGCCCAAGCATTGACCCGTCAGACGTCACACCCGTCTGATCGCAAGCAAAACTACAAGAACGTACTAAACACGTCTCGTAGATTTTGTCTCCAAGACCGGGTTAATTAACATTAAGTAAACCGTTGTGTGTGTAGGGTATAATAAACTGAATAGTATTAGCTTTTTGTATATCCTGGCCACGTCCAAGGAGTATCTAACATTAACGATCATAAAATATTTTCTTTCGCAGATGGCAAATATGAAGCGTTATTACTGACAATGACATTGCCACCCAGTTGCTACGCCACAATGATGTTGCGCGAACTGATGAAGACGGACACCTCGTCGAGGGCTCAGGCCCTACTCTCTCATCCTCTGAAGAGGACGGCGTCCCCCGACCCCCCGCCGGCCGCGCAATGAACGTTACATAAATAATAAATGTTTTGTAATTAAATGCCTTATCATTACAATCTTGACAAATGTAAGGTGCGAGGGGACCTCAGCGAGCGTGCGGCGGACACCACTCACGGCAGCAGTAGGGTATCGGCAGTATGAACGTCTCGCGCCCACGGGCTTGCCCGGGCTGGTCGCTCGAGCAATCGGGTCCCCGGGCCACATTCCCGACGCACTCATACTTGTCTACTCCAGTACTTAACCATATTTTTACTATACATAATATCTTAATAAATTTGTTTACACTGCACGCAATGTAACACGAAGTAATCAGTAGGCAGGTGTGAGCTCAACGCTCTCACAATTTGGTTCGACGCGCGGAACTGGCCGGACTCGTCTACTTGTGATGTTTTTTTATTTATTGCGTAGATGGGTGGACGAGCTCACAGCCCACCTGGTGTTAAGTGATTTCTGGAGCCCATAGACATCTACAACGTAAATGCGCCACCCACCTTGAAATATGAGTTCTAAGGTCTCAGTATAGTTACAACGGCTGCCTCACCCTTCGAACCGAAACGCATTACTGCTTCACTGCAGAAATAGGCAAGTGGTGGCACCTACCCGCGCGGACGGACCCACAAGAGGTCCTACCACCAGTAAAAAACGCAATAAAAGGATGTGTAGGATATCATTGTTTCTACCTTGATAATAGTTCTTTGTTCACTTCGGTGTTGCGGGTAAATAAAACGGCGCAATGTAGGGTATGGTTTATTTATATCCATTAGCGAGTAGTGTCGCGTGGCGCGCGTGCGCGGCGGCGTGCGCGCGCAGCTCGCCCGGCGTGGGGTAGGAGCGCGGGCACCACGCGCACTTGTGCGGCTTGCTCTGGGGACACACCTGCCGCTCAGTGGGGACACCCGCCACACCATGCCATACGTTCTCGTAGCAATTTATACTACCTGGAGCCACCGCGGTCATCCACAGTGCGTTTCCAGAGATCTTTTTTGCCACCTACCAACCAGCTTTGAAATGAGCTCCCCTCCACGGTGTTTCCCGAGTGCCATGACATGTCCTTTCTTCAAACGAGCCTTGTGGAGAGTACTTAACGGTAGGCAGCGGATTGGCTCTGCCCCTGGCATTGCTGAAGTCCATGGGCGACGGTAACCACTCACCATCGGGTGGGCCGTATCCTCGTCTGCATACCAGGACAATAAAAAAACACACACACACACTTGTATAACGGTCATAAATAAGTAATAGTTGAGGCCTAAAGGATCGCCCGGTGTACTCGTATCAAGCGATGCCCTGATGTTCGAATCCCGCAGGCGGGTGCCAACTTTTGTAATGAAATACGTACTTGACAAATGTTGAAGGAATAATATCGTGTAATTTAAATCAAATGCGCAAAATTATAATTTGCGTAATTACTGGTGGTAGGACGTCTTGTGAGTCCGCGCGGGTAGGTACCACCACTCCGCCTATTTCTGCCGTGAAGCAGTAATGCGTTTCGGTTTGAAGGGCGGGCCAGCCGTCGTAACTACTGAAACCTTGGAAGTCATGTCTCAAGGTGGGTGGCGGCATTTGCGTTGTGGATGTCTGTGGGCTCCGGTAACCACTTAACACCAGGTGGGCGATAAAGTCGTCCACCCATTTAAGTAGGTAATAAAAAAAAACTTAAAAATAATGATTTTCTCTTCAAGCAAATGTGCCATCCAGTATGGTTTAATTTAAATGATTAGAGTCTGTATCGACATCAGCTGCAGAACTATGCACAGTTGGACTCTGTTCGGTCCACGGACCACACCCCATGACTCCCTGCTTACTACAAAGAGCTTACCTTGGTGTGCGTCATGCGATGATAGTAAAGGTTGGAACTGGCTGTAAAACATTTTCCACATTCCGGACACTTGTGAGGCTTTTCACCTGAAATTGTGCATTTTATGGCCTCATTAGATATACGAACAAACGGTCCAACTGTCATGGATATGAGCAAGGCCAAAGGGAAAGCCAAGCCGCTGACTACCAAGTAGTATTTTTTATTACCTAATTGTTTAGTCGGACCAACAAGTTCACGGCACATCCGGTGTTAAGTGGTTAACGGAGCTAATAAACAACAAGAAAAACGCCGCCACCTTGAGACGTGAGTTCTACTAAGCCCGAGTTCTATAGTGCTACGGCTGCCCCACCCTTCAAACAAACATGAACACTCGTCTGTCTACAGCGGCAATATTTTGTTGATGGGTTTTGTTCGTGACTAGTGGTAAATGTACCTACATCATCCCTCTCTCTGTCGTTACCGGATATTGGATTCAAGAATGAAAGAAACTGTCGTTTATATTTTATTTTTATTACCCTTTTAAGCAGACGAGCATATGGCCCATCTGGTGGTGAGTGGTTACCGTCGCCCATGGGCTTCAGCAATGCCAGGGGCAGAGCCAAGCCGCTACCTACCGTCGTGTACGTCCATGTAACTGTGCTAACGTCAGATTATATAGTGAAGCAATCGCATCTTACCGGTGTGTATCCTGCGGTGCGTGTTCAACGAGCTGGACGTGCTAAACCCTTTGCTGCACACATTACAGATGTGTGGCTTTTCTCCTGAAACAAACGGGCAACAGTTAATTGTGTGCTGCCTACAATAGCATCGGCCCTCTCCTGTAGTCGGTGTCGCATAGGACCACCAACGGAGCACGGTCGTGAGCGACTATTATTGGTGGTCAGGGCCTATTGTGGGACTGCCCGCGCCCTCACCAGCGAGAACGATTACAACCTTATCCAACATTTGCTTCTTAATTTTTTTGTTAAAATTTGTCGATATTTAAACTATCGTGTGATTAAGCTTTTGCCTTAACAGTGTCGTTAATAATGTCCTTATCATGGTCTATTTAAGCATTTTTAACTATTGACTATTAAAACGTTTCGATTACAATGGTGTATTAATTCCGCAGTATATTCTATCTATTGTACTCATTACCTGTGTGTGTTCTCATGTGCCTTTTCAATAAGGAAGGCCTATCAAATGTCTTGAAGCAAATGTGACAGGGCAATATGTTCTTGACACCACTCCTGTGGGACACAAACTGTTTGTCTCTACCACAAACTGAGTGTGAGCTCTCAAATAATTTTACTAAATGACTGTTCAGTCCCGTCAGGAACTTGTAGTCCGTTAAATATATTGCAGAGTTTTGCTGCTTTGATTTAGTTGATAAATCAAGAGGCTCCGTTTGGTTTTCCATTGTCATTGGGATTCTCAAGAAGTGTCTTGATTGTGAACAACGATTAATTCATTGGTCTAATCATTGCAAAATTTAAAGTAGGAACCGAACACGTTGCGACGATTGTTTAAAAAAAGTATTTTGCTATTGTTTTAGAATATTATTGGTCTCTTGTTGGAAACTAGAATTTCACTACTTATCAGGAAATACAAAACAACTTTTTTTAAATAAGATGCCAATTCGTATGATTTTCACACGATTTTTCACAGGTAACTGCGTTAATTTTTCCGTACAGCCCTCTTAAATAGTAGGGGTTGAGGGGTACGAATGACACGGTTATATTTGGATTGTGTAACACGTTGAACACCGTTCAGTATTGTTGGCGAACGACAATCAGTTTTGTGAAGCATCGACCACTAATCGACGTGAATCGGCTATTTTGGAGTTTATCATGGAGCTACTGTTTCTGCTGAATGTGGTATCATAAGAATGTACACGTATATAAGGTTTTTTTTTTGAAAAGTTTTATGATTAATGCTTTTATTGAAACTAAAACAACATTGTGTGTTACGAAAATGGCCTGACGCCATGATTGCTTTAAAGCAGCTTGTTTATACGCAGCTTGGCCTACCCTGGCAAACTTACAACTTGTCTTATCACCAGTACTTTAAATCATAATTAGAGGTAAGATATCAGGGAAGTAGTATCGATAGCTGTAAGAGTATGAGGTCATAACTTGGAGGAGATTAATATCCGGATAGACTATTATCACGAAAGCTAATAAATGGACAGAGTAGCCAATTAAATGCTTATTTTTGGAATTTTGAAGACACTGCTACCATTAATTCAAACGATTGTTCTTGCCACATCCTCTTTTTAAGTACCGATGTTTTGTATTGAAGAAAACGTAATCGTCCATAGAGGTGACAGTGCAAATCGCTCCGATTCCCAAGCATTGTGCGGCAAATACCACAAAACGCCCGAAACGGGGGAAATCGACGCGATATTTACGTTTATTCAATGGAGCACGGACATTAGCAGCATGATTGACTGATCACAATAAATATTTTGTCAAAGAAATTTACTTTTGAAGTATCTCGAACCAAGTTAGATATATTTTATGGAGTATTTTATGAATCGATTTATAGTAAACGACAACAACGGGGAGCTCTTCCACCGAGAGGATGCGTTTGTACAGCAGACGGTTCCAATGTTGTCGTTAGGTATTATAATAATATAATCGTATAAATGTAATAATATTTTAACATGTCGTTCCCATGATTCCGATGTTTACCAAATTACCTTTATTCGGTAACAGCTACTTTCTTGTAAACTCACGGCCCACCTGGTGTTAGGTGGTTACCGGAGCCTATAGACATGTACAACGTAAATGTCGCCACCCACCTTGAGACAAGAGTTCTAAGGTCGAGTATAGTTACGATGGCTGCCCCACCCTTCAAACCGAAACGCATTACTGCTTCAGGGCAGAAATAGGCAGGGCGGTGGTACCTACACGTGCGGATTACTCAATACGAATGCACCGGGTGTCATATCCTTAAGGCTGCGACGATTTCCGTAGCGTGGTAGGTACCGCAGATTCTAGGATTATTTTTTATATTTTCAGGGCATATATAATGTATCATCTGTGAGATTATGACTAGTATTTTATAAAAGTACTCCATGGTTTTTCTTGAATGACAATTTAACATCGATTTCATTTCCACGATGATTATTGAAGGCCCAGAAGAAGAGTAAAACATGACGAGAAGCAGGGCAGGTAGCATAGGTTTTACTTTCCAAAAATAATGACTCCATTACCAAAATTAAAATACGAAAGTACAGACAGCAATTAGGCTAAAAGTTCGCATGGTGACAAAACCAATATGCTTTGTATCAGCTCATTTCTCGGATCGAGGAAATGATGTTGCATTTTCATTATTTGTATGTGGTATTGTAATCCACAATATTATTATAAGGCGACACGTACTTTCAATACGAATTTGAATAATATTCAGGAAATATTCACACCTAAAGCGGTATTGTTAATATTTATTTACACTTTATGATTTACATAAAGAATACCTTATAAGAATACACTGAAAGCAATAAATTTTCAAAAAGCCCGTTTTAGTATTCAAATTCAAGTTCACGCAAAGAGCCATGGAACGGGCTATGTTAAGCATTTCTCTACGGGATAGGATGCGCGATACCGAAATCCTCAGAAGAATTGCTTTGACTGACATAGCCAAAGAGATTGTTCGGAGAAAATGGAAGTGGGCCGGCCATATATGCCGTCGCACTGATAATCGGTGGAGTACAAAAGTACTGAAGTGGAGACCTCGTACTGGACGTCGTAATGTGGGCAGGCAACCAATGATGTGGGCCGACGAACTGGTCGAAATAGCTGGTAGGGACTGGATGCGAAAGGCAACAGACCAAAGGAAATGGAGTGCATGTGAAGAGAACTAAACTCAGCATTGGGTTGACACGGGTATATACTACTTTTTTCCCTCTACCTATGCTGATAGCCTTGAGGCTATTTTAGCTTCTCCTTGACGTGAAAGTGAGATCACGTGGCTCAAATCGGAGTATTGCTAACACTAGCAAGAGCAGTGCTTCACAGAATCTACCACCGGATCGGAAACGCGAAACACTGAGAAGATCCGGCGAGAAACTCAGTGGGCTGTCTGTGGGTTAATTTACTCGTCGAACCCTTCATCGCAAGCGACGGGTTAAGGAGGACGGTGGCCGGTGCTTGAGGTACTTAAAAGCACCGTTAATGGTTCAGAAGGATTAGTAATGACGTGATATACTACTGTGATCGCGAATACAACCTGGTTCTGTCGCGAATTGTAGTCAAAGTGCTATCCGCTTTACGTTCATTACTTTATACTTTATAGGCTGTGTTCGGTACAAGGTGGTGCTTACTTCATTCCGTAACAGTTTAATTATGTTTTTCCATTAGCTATTGTTAGTTGTGTGCCGCATGCTTTTATACTGTAGGAAGTCAGTTTCATCTTTTTAATTTTAAACATGGTTTTAATTATTTTTATCGTTGTAACTTTATGCTTTTTTGCAGAAATACATCATAAATGTATTTCTGTAAAAAATATATAAATATTATACCCGTATTTTATTTTATATTCGCATATCTGCTTGGACAACAAAATATAATCCATTAAAAAAGCACCAAAACCAAGGTGAGTCGGAATATGTTAATTAATTTTAATTGGCTTTTTGTTTCTATTATTTGTTATATTATTATACTATGTTAGTTGGCTGTTGGTTCTCCTTGTATTAAATAAATAAATAATGAAATAAATAAATTTTACATAAGAGAACAGTACCCTATTAAATCCTCAATTTCCTTCGTACAATAAGATATTCAAATGCGGCTTAGCATTAAGAAAAGAATTTTGTACCAGTAGCGCTGTGTTAACGAAACTTTACCCTAACAAAGGTAAAAATAAATAAAAAAGAAAAGTAAGACAAGTCTTCTTTAACGAAAGGAGCAGCGAATCCGATTTGCGAGTACATTTGAATAAGTCGGAGGAACTCGGGCGTCTTTGTGTTCTTAAATTTAGGGAAATCTTATTTACTTCCTACACAACTTTTCTTTTAAGTTTAGTGTGGAACGCTTCGTGAAATGCAGTCGTATTTACCTGGAAAAGCACTAGCGAAGACGCTTTTAATGGCTTCACAACTTTTCTTCCTAGTTTCTATATTTGCTAGAATTTATTTTGTTTATCACGCGCAACCATTTTATTAGTTAACATAATTTACAAATACCTTCACTGTATTTATCTCATCACCTCCTATTTTATCATTAATAGCAAAAATCCATTTAAATTGTATGTATAAGTATATAATGTGTAGTTGAAAATTTTAATATTCATATGTCTAAAATTCTGGTTATCCTGGTCATGATATTAGGCCAAAATAATAAAGATATTGCGTTGTTTTTGGTCCTTGAAACGTCTGCAAAATTTCCTTGACTTAAACTCTTGTTGAAATATTCCTATAGGTAGGTAGATAGATACAGGTCAAATGATCAAAATATGAAAAACTTTCGTATTGTCAGAAATAATCCGTTTGGAGTTTCTGGATTTACGAACATACCGCCCAGTGGTCTGTTTGGTATATTCCATGGAAAATTCTGTTTCGTCTTTTACCGTCACGCCACCGATTTTCCCCCAATCTATTCGCTGGTATCCTAAGGGGCTATTCCAGCTATGCCCGGACGGGTAGATGATCTCACGGGCTCAACCTGAGAGACTTTGCCAATACTAGCCCCAGCAAGAGTCACCGATGATCGGTACTTACGACCATTCCTTTTCATGTCATTATTACGAATTTTATTATTATTTATGATTTCATGTTATTAGGACCATACGATCGATCTCCCGGTTACTAACGTGGCTGTAATAATAATTACAGGATATAAAAATGTTCAACAGTGCATTCGACTCATGAAGGATGAACTTGTAAGATTGTTCCGCATCGTTGGCAACATAAAATGCAGTTAAATGTAATTATATTTTTCAGACACGCAAGAAACTTTGCCCCAAAATAGGATATCCTGTAATACGGGTACCAGAGACTGATACTTACTTATATATATTTAAATATTATGACGATATTTACAGGTTACAGATAATAATCCCCCAGACAAAGAACAAATAAACCTGTTCACCGCAATGATGTTTGTGGGAATTGAATCTCTTGGCGAAGCAGTCAGGAGCGCTAACTTGTGCAACATCGAATCAGTCAAAGCTATGAAGCTTTCGCGGCTTGCACACGCTATTATTTAATGGGTCCTTACTCCTTATTTTCGCATTCGATGAGTTCCCGTTATTTAGGCGTGTGACAAGCGTCGTTACGTAATAGTGCGTGTAATATAGCCTCGCGTATTTTAAATCAAACCTGTCAAATTTATGCATGACTAGCGGACCCGACAGACGTTGTCCTGCAAAAATTCATTCAAGTCGATTCAGCCGCTTAGTTGTAGTATAGATAAATAA